AAACGACTGTGTAGCATTTTCAAAAGGTGCTTGTGGCAGTGCTGGTGGAGGTGGTGGGGGTGGAGGCTGAGGTGGTGCAACCTTTTCTTTCCTGCTTGTCTCCTGTTCATACACAGTGGCTGCTTTTATAGGAGGAGGGGGAGGTGGCGGTGGTGGTGGTGGGAGCGGCGATGCTGGGTTAAGATCTGATCTTGTGACTGGAGTTACTAAGGGCCCTGAGTCTGAATTCAGAGGAATTGCAGGCAACATCACCGGTGAAGATGCTTTAGGGGTACTAGATTCCTTTAGTATACAAACTGAAGAAGCTGAAGCTGTAGAAGTATCAGGCAGTGACTTGAGAATCTCGTAAGAAGATTCTTGTGATTTAACCAGTTGTTCCGTTGCAAAAGCTTGTGCAAAGGCTGATGGCTCTGGAGGAGGTGAAGGGGAGGGCATGGTTGATTTAAGGGAAACACTGATCAGACTTGTACTAGTATTTATGGGTAAGGTAGGGGGAACAGGGGCTAATGAAACAGTGGCCGGTCGGGGAGGAAGCGGAGGAGGTGCACATGATGGTATCCAAGATGTTGATGATCCCGATTTAGTTACCATAAGAGGTGAAGGTTCATGCTGTATTGGAGTTTGTGAACCAGGCTTCCCTGCAGATGTTGTCGCTGATGCCTCTGATGAAATTTGCACAGCAGAATCAGATGGCAGTGGCTGCGGTTGAACTGGTGAAAATACAGGCTGGGGTGTAACTGTAACTGAAGATGTTGCTACTGATGAAGCACTAGCCTTTGGCTTTGTAACCTCTGATGGTGAAAACAACACCGAAGGAGGCTCTGTTCGTGAAGGATCCAAATCTATTCTATGTGGTTTGGATGGAACTTCCGTTGGACTTGAATGTGGGGGGCCTTGTTTAAGTTCAGTGCTGCCAAGCATACCAAAGTGATTTTGAAGCTTCAGCACACGAGCAGAAGAGTTGATTTCACCAGAGAAATTATCAAAGCCAAGTCCTTCTTGAGTATCAAAAAAGGTTTCAGGCTCATCAGGAGGAGATGCATTAATATTTCCTTGGGAAGTAACCTGGAACCTTTTCTGGGGTGTGTCCAGTGCAATATCCATATCCCCATCCAACCAGTCCAAATGGTTGAAGATATCTAGCACTTTAGCAAACTCTTCAACACCAAGTCCTTGTTTATCTTGATGACTCAAAGGCTCTGTCGTAACAAGCGAAGTAGTTGCATCCATGTCAGAAAAGATAACCTAGCATCAACACAAGTTGCAAGTAAAAAATCATGTATACAAAGTAGGCTAGTTCTCAAGTTAATTTAAACACTTGCCTCAGCTCGAAAATCTTTAGGGAATTGATCTTTTGCATTCCATAGCATGTCTATTTCATCACGGCTGAGCATCAAGATGTTTGACCTGATGAAAGCGGTGTTGAACATGACCCGGAATACCATCTCCTCGCGATCTAGATCATCATACAAGTTGCTACACTCTATGACAACGTCACCTTGGACATGACATTGAAGGTTTATGTTCACCCGTTCATCTGCCTAAGTACATAAATGGTCAGTTTAAGAGTATTAAAAACTATATACTTCTAAAGATCATCAACATGATAGCCTATTAATGTGACAATGCAGTAACAAGGTTTTACGCAATTTTCACAGCTTAGCAGCAAGGTCCTAAAAAGCTATTGAAAGCTATCAACAATAGAATTTTAATATACAATGTAAACAATAAAATGCATTAATAGATGTCAAATTGAATAACCATAACAAAAAAATGTATCACATCAAGTACTTTTTGACTAAGAAATATGGATGTTGGAGTACTGAAAAAGGCACAGTTGAAGTCTCTTGATATTTTTCTTTTCGATCAACCTTATAAGTAATGTTTTTGCCAAGTCGCATTTAAAAATTACGATACTAAATTATGATATAAATATATCTATATGAGGTAGCGGAGCTATCGAGCGGAGGTAATTGAAGCTATCCCGCTAATCGCTAGCAAATGCAGTTATAGCTAGCTATTTAAATCCTTAGTCCAGTACTAAGCCATTAACAATTAAGGACATGCAGATTCACTTCAAATAGATTATCAGAAAATGAACAATTACCTGTGAATTAAAACGGACAAGATTACTTGTTTTGGGGGTTGAAAAAAGAACTTTGGGAGTCTGATCATGGGGCATGAGTGGATCTGGACCATATATCCTGAATATCGGACAAAAACCACCTTGACTTTGAAAATCAGGAAGCATCCTCAAAGTCAGACAATCCAGTGTGAGGGCTCTATCAGCGGGAGGCCACTCAGGCATGACATTCCTCATCGAAATATACCGCAAGTATCTAATTTGAGAAGGCATGGGATTTAGAGGTGAGAACATCTCCAAGAACTCGGAAGATGATTGTTTGTAGAGCATATCCAGTGTTTTCTGCTCATCTGAATACTGGCCCAGGTACAACAAGAGAGCGGCTAGCATGAAAGCCAGGATAGGCCAGCACCCTTGCTCGCAGTGCATTATGAGTAAGTTGTGCTGGCCCAGAGAGAGCCAGCTTTCGCTGGACTTCAGGATGCAGTGGACCATTTCGATGGTGAGAAGTGGACACCCCTCGTAGTGGCCCGGGTAGTCCAAAACAGTCATGCCATACTCGGATAAAATGTGGTATAAGCGGCTTTCCTCTGCCCGAGTCCCGAAGTTCGTGACCATGAATGAGTGATCATGGAAGTCTTCTAGAAGATGTGCTGCGATGCCTCTGGTGTGTGCCTCGAACTGGTCCTCTTCCGGTGTATTCAAGGAGAAGCAATGATCGAAAACTGAAACAAATACAAGTGACATGTGTCAGCCATGCTAATACTCAACTCTGTTCTGAATTCTCAAATGGCTATTTAGCCACTGAAAATGAAGTGAGGTATCGTTCGCAAGGCGATACGAATCTATCAGATTTCCTGGTTTAAAACGCGGTAACTGATAAGCAGACACAAGCGTATGCTAAAATGGAGGAAACTCTCTGATTAAATTCCTTCTCTAAACCAGCTAGTGCTTGCTCACCGCAGCTCAAATCAACATTTAAACTACGCTCAGTTGCTTATACTACTTGGGACCAGCAACAGATCAACCAAACTGAAACCTTCAAACCTGTTTCTTCTACTAAAACGGCCAGGGTGTAAAAATGCGAGTAAAAATGCAGTCGTCTGCTGCACGCAAGCAGAGCAGGCGAACGGCACGCAGAGGAAACAGCTCCATCTCCATTTACCGTAGATGTTATCCGTGATGAGGAGCACCCCGTCGGGAGGCTTCTTGAAGAAGAACTTGCGGAACAGCGCCATGGCCGGGCCCTACCCAGCGAGCCCCACCAATCCCTGCTCCGATCTTATCCGGAGGAGCGAGCTCCAGCAGCCCCCGGGCTCCCTCCAGCAACGGATTCGGGCCGCCGACCCGCAGGGACGCCGAGAGGGAACGTTATCCGCCCCTGGAGCCCCTGCGAGCTGGTCGGCCTCGAGATTCAGGCTGCTGGCCGCAGCGATACGGCGGGAGAGTCGGAGACGAGGGGGGAGACAGCGGCCTGCTCTGCGGAATCTTCGCGCGGAGGGCTCCGGATTGCTCGACGAGCACGGGGGGAGAGGGGTTTGACGCGGTGGATTTGGGCGGCGGTGATTCGGGGAGGAAATGGCGAGAGGAGAAGCTCGGCGAGGGGGAGGAGGAGGAGAGGGAGGCAGGAAGACGACCAGAAGCGATGTGCGTTTGACTAATTGATTAATTGTTTTCCGGCGCAGCTGTTAATCTAGTTTATGTGTTTCTTTTATACTCTGCCCCCTTGCTTTTGAGGGTTTTCCACTTATTCTATTTTCCTTTTAAAAATGGAGTAATTTTTAATTTATTATCTCGATTCCAAAAATACTTGCCATGATTTTTTTGTGTTATTTTTATAATTTTTTTATGGAAATGATAAAATGTTTATTTGTTGGGTCAACTTCATGCGTAATCATTTGCAATTAAGCCCCGTGTGCATGCGCGAGAGCAGTCCTTTATTGAACCAGTACTAGGCAACAAACAAAATCAGAACTGGTAAAAGGGTATTTGCAGGACAAGGTAAACCGCTGACTGTTTTTGCCTTGGTTGTTGCGTTAAGAACACAATGTCGGTTTACCATGGTGGAGGTCGAGGAGGAGCCGTCAGTTGCTTTCACACACAATAGTTAAAATTAACTTGCTATTTTTTTCTGTTTCTGGCCAATCTTTTTTGGGTGCTCTGATTTGCACGCTAGATCAAAGCGGTGACAACAGGATTTAAAAATCAGGAGGTAAAACAGAGGGCATGATGAGGATGACGAGGCTCCTCTGACGTACTGCAGGGCGCAGTTGGGCCACTGACAGGTGCCCACCTGTCAGTGGCCCAACTGCGCCCTGCAGTACGTCAGGGGAGCCGAGTCTGATGAGGAGCGAGTGGTGGGCGATTCGGCGGGCACAGGATCCGGGTGGGGCCGGCGCGCGGTTGGTAGTTGGCGTTTGCCGCCAGCTGAGAGCTGCGTGCGCTTCAGCGGTCGAGCCAGTAGCACATCACCAAGACGTTAACGAAGCAGCCATGTAGTAAAAGGAAATGTTTACGGTTATCCAAAGCTGGCGCATGCACTCTGTTTTGTTCAAGTCCACAAGCTTGTGCTGCGCCCGAAGGGGTCGGGGGCACGCCAAGTGTCTGCAAGAGAGTTCGGGCCTCTCCTTTTCTTTTCCTTCGGAAAGGCCAAATGCCACATATTAAGTACTGTATCACGGATCATTGAAAAAGGGCCTTGCAGAAATTGCAAAATACACCCAAGTTTATGGGGGTGTCGAAGGCTTCTTATTCCCGCGTCCATCGGCATCGCATCGTGAGCAATGCTTATTGCCGCTCGTCCCATCAGATGCAAACTTGTTGACACCCAATTAGATTATAGAAGAAGTGGTCGGGAAGTCGTCGATGGAAACCAGAAGACACTGACATGCACGGTCTGAGATCACCGCCCCGCAAAGGAAAACATGGGATAGGGGTTGTACAACACAAGGCCGTGCCTATAGGGGTGTGCGGCCGCACAGGGCCCCACATTTTGCAGGGAGCTCAAATTAAGAGCACTTCAGTTACTTCAGGGCAACAGGCTCCGGCCTCCTCTAGCCGACGCGTTGTCCATTGTCATCATGTTCGACTTCCAGCACTTCGATTGATCGTTGCTAGCTGCCGCTCCAACTGCTGGGGCAATGGCTGCACGGTGGGCATCATGGGATATAACCTTCGCTGGAGAATTTTTCCCACCACTGATGCTATGAACGGTCGCGGCATAGCTAGTAAGGCTGCCAGAGAACTCCGCCTCTTAAGTCTCAAGGTATGTTGGTAGTTTAATTCTATAATTTATAGTCTCAACTCAAAAGTTCAAGTTTATATCGCGCCTTAGGAGCTAGCACCCTGACGCATGATGTTCCAGTCCTTATATGTGTCGATACCTTAGAGACATTGCACATGCGGCGGATGAATTGTTCATGGGATCTATGAGGAGTTGTATGTGGGATCAAGAGGGAGCGACTAGTATAGAAAATGGCCCTCCGGTACAAGAATAGAAAAATTGAAGCTGGGCCATTGGATTCAGGATGGATGGCACGGATTCTTCTGGAGAATGTGTACAGATAAATGCATGCTTCTGTGCAAAAAGGACCTTCGTCTCTGTTGAATTTGCTTCCTACATTCTGTGCCATCAAACGAGAGCCACACCCCTATTTCATCTTCCAACTGTTTCCCGACGGCGGCGGCGCTCCAGCTCCGGCGTCACAGCGGCGTGATCTCGGCGGTGAGCCGGTGACCATGGGTGGCGACTGCGACAACCCGTCGACCCCGTCGTTGGACTGGTAAGGCCCCGCTCCTCCTCCTCTTCTTCAGCACAGGGCATGATGAGGATGACGAGGCTCCTCTGACGTACTGCAGGGCGCAGTTGGGCCACTGACAGGTGCCCACCTGTCAGTGGCCCAACTGCGCCCTGCAGTACGTCAGGGGAGCCGAGTCTGATGAGGAGCGAGTGGTGGGCGATTCGGCGGGCACAGGATCCGGGTGGGGCCGGCGCGCGGTTGGTAGTTGGCGTTTGCCGCCAGCTGAGAGCTGCGTGCGCTTCAGCGGTCGAGCCAGTAGCACATCACCAAGACGTTAACGAAGCAGCCATGTAGTAAAAGGAAATGTTTACGGTTATCCAAAGCTGGCGCATGCACTCTGTTTTGTTCAAGTCCACAAGCTTGTGCTGCGCCCGAAGGGGTCGGGGGCACGTCAAGTGTCTGCAAGAGAGTTCGGGCCTCTCCTTTTCTTTTCCTTCGGAAAGGCCAAATGCCACATATTAAGTACTGTATCACGGATCATTGAAAAAGGGCCTTGCAGAAATTGCAAAATACACCCAAGTTTATGGGGGTGTCGAAGGCTTCTTATTCCCGCGTCCATCGGCATCGCATCGTGAGCAATGCTTATTGCCGCTCGTCCCATCAGATGCAAACTTGTTGACACCCAATTAGATTATAGAAGAAGTGGTCGGGAAGTCGTCGATGGAAACCAGAAGACACTGACATGCACGGTCTGAGATCACCGCCCCGCAAAGGAAAACATGGGATAGGGGTTGTACAACACAAGGCCGTGCCTATAGGGGTGTGCGGCCGCACAGGGCCCCACATTTTGCAGGGAGCTCAAATTAAGAGCACTTCAGTTACTTCAGGGCAACAGGCTCCGGCCTCCTCTAGCCGACGCGTTGTCCATTGTCATCATGTTCGACTTCCAGCACTTCGATTGATCGTTGCTAGCTGCCGCTCCAACTGCTGGGGCAATGGCTGCACGGTGGGCATCATGGGATATAACCTTCGCTGGAGAATTTTTCCCACCACTGATGCTATGAACGGTCGCGGCATAGCTAGTAAGGCTGCCAGAGAACTCCGCCTCTTAAGTCTCAAGGTATGTTGGTAGTTTAATTCTATAATTTATAGTCTCAACTCAAAAGTTCAAGTTTATATCGCGCCTTAGGAGCTAGCACCCTGACGCATGATGTTCCAGTCCTTATATGTGTCGATACCTTAGAGACATTGCACATGCGGCGGATGAATTGTTCATGGGATCTATGAGGAGTTGTATGTGGGATCAAGAGGGAGCGACTAGTATAGAAAATGGCCCTCCGGTACAAGAATAGAAAAATTGAAGCTGGGCCATTGGATTCAGGATGGATGGCACGGATTCTTCTGGAGAATGTGTACAGATAAATGCATGCTTCTGTGCAAAAAGGACCTTCGTCTCTGTTGAATTTGCTTCCTACATTCTGTGCCATCAAACGAGAGCCACACCCCTATTTCATCTTCCAACTGTTTCCCGACGGCGGCGGCGCTCCAGCTCCGGCGTCACAGCGGCGTGATCTCGGCGGTGAGCCGGTGACCATGGGTGGCGACTGCGACAACCCGTCGACCCCGTCGTTGGACTGGTAAGGCCCCGCTCCTCCTCCTCTTCTTCAGCACAGGGCATGATGAGGATGACGAGGCTCCTCTGACGTACTGCAGGGCGCAGTTGGGCCACTGACAGGTGCCCACCTGTCAGTGGCCCAACTGCGCCCTGCAGTACGTCAGGGGAGCCGAGTCTGATGAGGAGCGAGTGGTGGGCGATTCGGCGGGCACAGGATCCGGGTGGGGCCGGCGCGCGGTTGGTAGTT